TTTATTTTATTTTATTTTATTTTATTTTATTTTATTTTATTTTATTTTATTTTATTTTATTTTTCTCTTTTAATTACACTTAGAAACACATGTTGGTACACTTATGAAAATGTGGAATCAGATAAACGTTATACTTAAGTTGCATGAGAATTGCCATAAAATGTGATTATCCAAGGTCAATAACGCGCATTTGTGGTAGGCAGAGAATTTTACATATTCTATTAATCAGAAAAACACCCACACTTAAAAAATAAAAAAGAGTGTCTTCTCCCCACTTTCCTTTCATGATGACCTGCCTAACCATAGCCCATGGACAAAGGAGCCAAGTGACCCTGAATTAAATTTCTGAAATGCTTAGCCAGAATAATTTTTTTTTAAAGAACTACTCTTTATGGCCCTAATAGTTATCAAAAGATACTCCATTTGTGTGTCCAGCAAGTTAGCAAAGCTATTGTCTCTAAACCAACTTAGGCTAATGCTATGGATCATGTAGTTCTTAGTTATAGATCACTAAACTACAGAACAAGGCCTCACATGGTACTGTGACACACCATCACCTAAGCAGCCTTAGGTGGCAGCCAGATACAGCCCACGAGGGTACAGGGTCAGTCGGCGAAACTCTACACTGTGACAAAGCTGCGAAGGCAGAGCAGTAACAGGAAAAGGATAGAGAAAAAAAGAGATGAGGAAAGATGGGGACCATATAGCTCTGGGCTAGACTTCCAACGGAGATATTATGTGGGCCACAAATGAAATTTTAAGTTGTCCGCTAGTGACACTTAAAAAGTAGAATAGACAGATACATCAATGCTAACGGTTATGTAACCCGTTACATAATGAAGATATCATCACTTTAAGATATCAGTATTAATGAAACAGAAAGAAAGGATTTCCCATGGATTCTATTGGTCCAGCAATAGATTTAGCCATCTTAGAGTTGCCCGGCAGCAACATGTAGCCAATGTTTGCTGTATCAGACAGTGCAAGCCCAAGCTGTTTTGATAAACTCAGATAAATAATAAGGTAATAATAACGTGCTAAATCCACAATGGAACTTTCACCCCATCACGCTGGGAACATTTAAAATTCCCACAATATTCTCCAGGTTGGAAAAAAAAAAAAAGAGTATAATATTCCCTTCAAATGTTTTTTTTTTTTTTTTTTTTTGTGCTTTGTTTTAGATATTTTTAAACACGATTTGAGATCGTTTCTGGTGTTCATTTTACCCTCCCTTCACTCTGTTGTTTAAGGGAGGGCTCGCTATGGCCTACCTCTGTCTAATACGAAAGTCCTTGGTAAAGGATCTAAGAATATAATTCATTTTAGGATTATCAGTGTCTTAGATATGGCAGGTTCTGAATCCATATCTTTGAAAATACATTACAAAGCAAACTAAATTTGACAATGGCAGTCTTCAACTTGAAATACACAATGGTACCATATAGAGAATAAGACCCTGTTGCTGCACATACCCTCCCTATATTTGAGTCAAAGAACATGGAGACACAAATCTGGTATTTACCTGGAGGTTTCATTCATACTGGCTAGCTCTCATAGGGTATGTGCTAAAATACTGGCGGGGAAGACTAGTCATCAATCTCACCCAGCCATGAACCAAGCAAGCTACACAGGCCTGGCAAGATAAGAGTGCAATAGGATTACAAATGCTAGAGGAGCAACCAACCACTACCTGGCCCTGTTAACGGGGTCAAGAACTTGTGGCTAGATAGGTTATAGGATCCAGGGGAGAACCCACACAGGTATTCTGCCAAATGGACAGATATTAAAATGACTCATAATTACTTATTGCTATACCATAGGTCATAGCATTACTTTACCACCATCAGATGGTAAGCTTCCTGGAGTAGACGGGGATTAATACAGAGATAAAGGACTGTCCCTAAATGAGACATTCATATCACACCCTAACCACAAGGTTTGGGGTCTTTGAAGCAGAGGGGGCAGAAATATTGAAAGAGCTAGAAGTGGTAGATAACTTTAGAGAAACAGTGTTTCCCCACAAACAACAGGGCAGTTGCACATATAAACTCATACAGATTATGACAGCATGCATGAGATCTGTGCAAGATCAAGCCAGACAAAATCCTAGCCTGGGGGTTGGGGTGGGCATGAAATCCCATTGACAGCTGAGGAGCTATTGGCATTTAATAGCTACTGGGAGACAAAGAGTCAGTTTTCTTCAATGGTGTGACCAAGTATGGCAGAGCCCACTCCCAAGTGTAGGTAGTCATTACAAACTGGACCCAAAGGATTTTTTTATTTTAAGAAAGAAGAAAACCCAAAAGTGAAATAGGTAGGAAAGTGGGGATGGAGATAATAGATCTGAGTGGAATTAAAAAAGAGGTCAATATGATCAAAATATTCAAAGAATTTTTGAAATTTTGAAGCACTACTTTAGGACTTGCTTCCTTTAGCTGGGAAACCTAGTAAATTTCCAACATATGAAAGATTTCAAGGTTCTAACATATTCATATTTACCTGTTTTCATGAAAATAATAGAATTCTCAATGTACCCAGACACTCACTCTTTTAAGGAAAAAACTTAAGGCCATTAAGATATGCAAGCAGATAAAACTCCAATATACACACTTTGGAATTTTCTGGCTATAGAATAATAGAAAAATTTAGAAGTATAAAATGTAAGCCATATGTAGGTCATTTCAAATTCATTTTACATATGTGAAAAGAAACTGCCATTATGAATTAGGGGTAACAAATAGAAGTATCTTCCTGTTATGGAAGCATCTACAGGTTATGTATGTACGGTATAACCATAAAGCAACACATTCACCTTGATGAAAAACATAAAAAAACAACCTACCTATTCACAAAAATGTTTGCGTCATTGCTCTCAAGATAGTATTGAGCCTAAACCATTACTCCTGTCAGCTGTGAGGTTCAGCAAGACCCATTCTGCCATCTGCCTTCATGAAAACAAGGCTCCGCACAGAGGCCCGAGCAGCGTTCTCCGCAGAGGGAGCAGCTGCAATGGAGTTCCTGTGACTCATGGACTGAGAATTTCTTTGCTAATTTCTAAGGAGGTTTGGCCATACTTTGTCAATTGACCCAACTTGTTGATGGTGTGGTATCATGTGGCCTTACTTGGTAATAGAAACAGCATGTTGTAACTTCCCCAAGAGTTCCTGCATGCACGTCCCCTGGCTTTCTAGTAAAGAAGAAAGCTTCCTTCAAAAAAACCCCACACTTATTTTTCTTTCGAATCTTAAACTGAATTTGTGTCAGTAAGATAGGAAAGACATAAAAGCATTGTATTTTCATGTTCAGTAACCCTGTTCAGTAAAAGCTTCCCAGTGCTACCAAAAATCTGGAGGAAGGTACGGAACCTGCAAAGGTTCCTGAGTAAGCGTTGGGGCTTCTGAGTATCCCACAGAGCCAGTGGGTGGGACAGTGACATTCACTGGACCCCAGTTGCCTCTCTGTGAAGGAATGAAAAAAATCCAACACAACAAGCAACAACGAATTTCAAGTTTCCCAGTTGCCGTGCTCATGAGACCAGGAATCTAATCCCCTGTGGTGTGGCAGGAATGACCAGAAATCCGAGCTGTAGGACGACATAAGCCTTATATGGACCAGGGATACCTGTGGTCCAGAAAGGACCAAAAGGTTTACCTTCAAAATATTTCAAAAGCAGGAATAACAGTGCATGATTAGGAAGATGTAATGGTCTTGGAAAGTGACAGAAGAATTACAGGGCAATCAATTAGCAGAGGATGAAACTACCATTAGAAAATGGACGATGGACCCAGTGGTGTTGTCTATGGTCAGAAGGGAGTAAGTGGCGGCGGTGGAAACCCTGAGAGCCTCAGGGGGTGGGGTTCCTGAGTACCTTGATGACAGCTGAGAAGCCGCCTACCTTTCTGGAAGAACTCCTCCAGTTTGTCCTTGAAGGGCTGCAGATACTCTTTTGGGGACTCCTTACACACCAGCTTCATCTGCTGCTCACTGGCTGCAAAGGGAAGTGTAGATTAGACTCAGGCAAGGATACAAACGTGTGCAGGGCCTCCACGGGCCCTGTGCGACGTTATCAATTGTACAGATTCCCTGTCAGTCGTGGCTTAAGCACGTTCCACAGGCAAAAGGCACATTCTACACCTCTCTTTGGGAAAAGTAATGTGGGCAACCTTCAATTTTCCTTTTAGCCATTTACGAAAATATCTATGACTTGTCCCAAGTAAAGTATTCTGCTTTTTTGTTCCTCATAATGGGGCAGGGTAGGTATTTAAGGACGGAGCCCAGGGAACTATGGTCTCTAGCCTTCTTCAATTCATAGACTGAAAAAGATTTTGCTCAAGTTCCCACAAATCCAAATTGCCTGGAAAATCAAGTTAGAGTTTCCTCATGATCCCATGCACACCCCAGTCCAGTTTAAGAAGTACTGTATCAGCTCTTCATGCCTCTCACTTAAACAAACAAAGGTCCATTTTCAAGATGAAAATGCTGACAACATAAGTGCTGCCACAGTGATCAGGACAGAAAACACTGGACCCCAACTTACACATGCTAGTCTTTCTATCGCCATCCAAACTACAAGCTCAGAGTAGAACATCATTAACATCCAAACTCGCCCAGTGACCTGCATATGTGAGACACGTCACCCACTCGAAAAGCTTTAAAATAAACACGATACAAAATGTAGAAATAAACCCACAGGTAGGCTTTGATGAGGAAATTGACGAGCATAAGCAGCAGGTGATGGGTAAGACTGAGTCCCCCTCCACTAGCTCATCGGTCAATGAGGAAATGGAGGGAGGACCTGAGTTTGAGGTGATAAATAACTACTCGCAGGAAGCAATAGGATATCCTATATTTTGCTGGGATGGGCACAACCTTTCAAGATCTTAAGATAACCTGTCTCACTGTTCCTACTCTGAGACTCCAGCACATTCATTAAGGAGTGAGGGTCCTTTGACCTCACGCCGCTCACCTCAATCTTCACCAGCACATGTGTAATTTCACTAGATTTGCTTCAGACAGGATACCCGGAATTCACAACAAATTGCTCTTTTGATAGTCAAAAGAGCAGGTTTGCCTTGACCCAGGTTTGGTTACCCAGAAACTGAGATAATCAAGAGTTTACTGTCACGAAGAGTGGTTAGTTAACTCAGGCAAAAGATGGCTTCCCATGCTTTCTATATGTTTTTGGCCAGTGGCTTCAACTATTGGTCATGGCTGGAAATTACTGGTAGACCCTTGTCTAAGAAACAAAATTAAAGCCTAAGATTTTTATCATAAGCGAATCATGATACCTAGTTAAAATAAAATAAGAGAAAGAGCTAGCCATGTAGTGTGCCCCTCCCAAGTGCTTGGGGGCACAAAGGCAGATAGAACTTGAGTATCAGGTCATCTAAGCTACACAAGGAACTAAGCTCAGCTCACTAGCACCCAACTAAAAGACAGGCATGTACTGGCCTGTAGATCCAGTGCTCAAAATAACAGAGACAGAAAGATCTCACGGGCTGGCTGGCAAGCCATTGGTTAACTAAGGGAACCTGTCTCAAAAAATAAGATGGTAGAGTGAAAGGATGATTTGTGTTAACCTTTGGCCTCCACATGTATGCACAGACACATGTACACACACACTGAACATACACACACATGAATTTTTTTTAAATACAGTAACCCTTTTTAGATGAAACTACCCATTACGGTTTTTCTTACCCTTTAGCCCTCCTACCCTGAGCATCACTGGTTGTGTCACCTCCCCAGCCTCTGGCTTAGTGAACTTTAATGATCCTAGCACTGCCCAATACCTCCTCCCACAAAGCATAAGCAAGGTAGCAAAGATGGAGACCAACGCACAGGAAACTGGTCAAATAAACTTTGAATGATTTCTGTTTTGAATCACAATTTGACAGTGAACTTTCAGAGTGACATTCTTTCCTCCTGATATGCACTTAAGACTCTGAGAATACATGAAGCCATTTGATTTCTCACAGTTGTTAATTCTTTAAATTCAAAACACCCTCAGCAACATTCAAATTCTAGTAGCTATTTTTATAAGCACAAATAATATGTCATGCTATCAATTTAAAAATGAGAACTATCTGAAAGCTTGAGGTAATCCGTTCAAGGTTACTTTTTCTAATTCAAGTAAAGTTTAAGGAAGAGCGTGTGTCCATAGTTCCTAAAACAATGCTTCTACTTCCGAATTGAAAAGATTGGTTATTGCAGCTCTTCTTTTGTCCTGGAAGTAGTGACGAATGGGGTGCCCATAAAACTGGTCAAACCTTATGTGCCATATTTTAGAGTTGGAAAAAGTCTGTGCTTGGACCAAGATTTCCCTGAGCTCAGGTAAGCTTTTTGTCTTACCTGTAAGTGAGGACCACTTTCTTCCTGAATGACATGAGGTAATGCATAAAAGAGGCTTTCAGAATGTGAAGCACTAGCAAACAACTTAAACTATTGTGTGTTATGATGCTGATTTGGTAAAGCTGGTCAGGAGACAGTTCACAGCAGGAAGATTACAGTGTGGTGGTTGGGGACTAAAGGCTGAAGAAAATGTGTTCAGTTTACAGAGGTGCAACACAGTACAGCTCTCCCGTTTAGAAGACGGAAGTGATTCATGCCCCTCATTCCCTTGCTGAGATCCTAACACCTATTGTGAGAATCCACTGAAGAATGTGGGCAAATTCACTGGAAAGGTGAGATAACTTGCAAAATCATTCCCCACGTCTTTTGGCGTTCTGGTTTTGAAATTAGAAAGCAGAGCTTGTACAAAGGACAGCAGTCCCTTGGGTGTGCTGGAGGGGGGAGTCCTCTCTGCACCCCAGCAGGCTGGAGCTCCCATGGGGCCTGCTAGAATTAAACTTCTCCACAGGATCAAAGGAGAAGGCTGCCCTCCTACTGCCCCCTGCTCGGTCGCATGTTCTGGTGACCAGCAGCTCACACACACCAATTTATTAACTTGGCTTACCCAAGACACTTTCTAACAGACAAACGGGAGACTGAAGACTAATTAATGATGACACTGGAGACTGGAGGAGCACAAAGAAGAGAGGTCATGGACAAATTCGTAAATGCCACTCATTGTCCAACTAGAATACTACTATATAGTCCTGTCAGACCTCCAAAGTTGCCTTAAACACAGTCTGTGCCAGGACCTCCAACATTAAAGCCAAAACTATCCTTTTTTTTTTTCTCTCTTTGTAAAATTTTCAAGGATAAAAGACATTAGTTTCTAAAGTTAACTACAAAGGAGAGGCTGTTGTAAGAGGGAGACATAAAGTGATACACAATGGGATAAAAGAGAACAACTAAAATCTCTCACTTAAAGGATAAGACTCTCACTTTTGACTTCTTGCAGTGAAAAAAAAATGTGTTCTTGAATGTTTTAAGATTTCAAATGTCAAGCATCTAAGACCTTATACATTTTTGACTTTTGACCCCTAAAAATAAAGTTCACTGAGGTACTTTAGAAAGCAAAAGTAGGTTAGAAGGACACAGAGGCAACTCTGGTGTAACTGGTCAAAAATCATACGTATTTTGTATCAAAGTACATGGGAAACTGCTATTAATTACTGTGTGACTGCAATATGGACTCAGTTAAGTCAATGTATAGCGTGTGTGTGTTTGTGTGTGTGCACACATGCACACAAGATACTAAGCATTGTATCCAGAACTTTGCAAAGCCAAAATACAATGTATGTAGAATTTATGCTTTTTTGATCTGTATTTGACTTCTCTGTGCTTACCTAATTCCCAATGAGGAATCCCTGTGCTTCCCTGGTTCTGTGTCAGTTTTACTCATGCTTATATCTTATAAGATCTGTCTTTTCCATAAGCTCCATGCTCAAATGACCAACATTGACGGCTGTCATAGCAACCTATCAAATTGTTTGCTTATAGACATTTTTGTGTGGTATTGGCAGGGTTTAGGTGAGAGAAAAGGAAATTGGAGCCAGACTGTAAAGAGCAGATGATGCTTGGTGAAGGAGTTCATTACAAAGGATTTCACTGAATAAAATACATCAACTTAACAAATGTCTGCTCGGCCCCTATGATGTGCATGAAATTGGACCAGGTACCTGGGAGATATCAGTGACAGAACTAGACTAATGCCTTTCCCTCCTTATACAGCACACAGTGATGACTGTTTCTAGTGACTGAAGGCATGTAAACATATGGCTACTTCTTTCCTTTGACACATCTTTACTGTCATCATGTTAGCTAACAGGATATACAGTGTTGTCCTCAGTGCTTTTTCACACATCAAGCAATACATGTATGTGTGAGTTTTGTAAGTGACTACTTTTTAGCTTTCATCCTCGAAATATACTTATGTTAAAGTAAACGTTAAATGAAAGTGTGTTTAGAAAGCAAAATCTGGATAAAAACTTAACCTTCACACTCTGTAATGATATCATTCCCAATATAATAAGATGCTCCAACAAACAAACAAAAAACATCTTACTTTGGATAGCAGTAATACAGAGCTTCTACAGAAAGCAGAAAGCATATTTTGAAGTAATAAACTATTAAAGTATTTGCATGTGCTTGTTAAAGGATGGCATAGATGGGATGGTCCTAATTTGTGGGTCTTCCATATCTCTCTCCTCCCTCATGGTTGGGGGGCACCACAATGTGAGGAACGGTATTGAAGGGTCACAGCATTAGGAAAGTTGAGAAGCTCTGGTCTAGATGATCCTCAACAAAACACGGTCCCGCCCCAGCTCTCAAACTGCTGCCTGTACCAAGTACATTTACTCATTCTCAGCTTTCCATATATTTTACTGGCCGAGAGTTATTTAATATATCTCTGACTTTGAGTTTCTAAGACTGACCATGGTGGCACACACCTTTAGTCCTAACATTTGGGAGGCTGATTGTTGAGTTTGAGGCCAGCCTGGTTTACATCCAGGCCAGGGTGGGCTACATAGTAAAACCCTGACTCTAAAAAATAATAATTAAAAAAAATCTTCTAAGGACCAAAATATACAGAATCATTTT